AACCTGGTTTCTGATGACTTCTTCAAGCCACCCCACCAGCCCTATATTGCCTCTCCCAAACCTCTTTCATGTGAGAAAGGAACTTTTAGCCATTCTTATTTTGGTTTTTCTGTGTTCTTGTATTATTTTGAGAAAAATCTCTTGAAGTTTAAAATTTTATGAGAAAATAGTATGAGAAAACTTAATCAGAATATCTTGGGCGGGGCCAGGCCTGGAAATCTGCATTTGATGGGCTCCTATTGGGGACCAATGCACACTGAAGTGTGAGGTTGGATGCTTATGAATCAACTCTCTCATAACAGTTCTTCAGGAATATATATACTCCAAGAATAGGGGACCAGGAAATTTGGATATAAAAGAAGAGGAGCATCTTTAGTAATTTTTTTTTTTTTTTATAGATGCCTTTCTTTGAACCTTTATTGCTTAAGAGTTCCAAAGTGAAACTGTTTAGGTAGCAAAAATTTTGGCTAAAAGGAAATCACCAGACAAACTGAACCAGTGTCTATGAGTTTATGGCTATGTTGGGGCTAGAATTTTGGTCTCTGACTCCCGGCTCTCTGACCTCTGGACCCTGAGGCTTCCCTGAAAGCTCTAAAAAGCTATTCTTTTTCCGGAATCACAGGTGAAAATCCTACAGCCTATTTACAGGGTGTGAGATGGCAGCTCTTGAGAGGCATGGCTGGGGTTGGGTGCAGGGAAGTGAGGTTGGGTGCAGGGAAGTGAGGTGTGTCCAATCAAAACAGCAAAGGGTAATCTAGGTCAGCAGACCATCCATATAGGTGGCTGAGGCCACGAAAGAATCCAAGTCATCCCATGTGATGCATATCACAATTTGGAAGGTCAACCCCCTGTTCTGCTCACCTAAATCTTTGCCAGGATAAGGCAATTTCAAGTGAAGCATGTCTGTATCTAGGGCCTTTCCAAGCCACTTATTCAGTAACAATGCATTGGAGGAACTGGCTTCACCACCCCCACCAAAATGCTTGTTAACTATGGACTCTATGTGAATGATAATACCTTAAATGGGAAAGCAAGAGGAAAACAGTGTTTAAAATGCAGAGGGTTTGTGCAGATTATAAAACAACAAAGAAGAAGGGAAAATATAACCCAGCAATTAACCATAAAAAAAAAACACACACAAAAAAAACGCAAAACACAGTGGCGTTTTCTAAGTAAACGTGCACACTTTTCAATATTAAAACAGGGTGAAGAGTAGAGGTGGGGTTTAATAAAACCTGCCTTCAGGACTTGGCTTTGTTTCTGTCCAGCTTAAGCATCCAGATACTTTTAGAAAAGAAGATATTCCAAAAGTAATTCCACTCTTCTCTCTTCCTCTACCTTCATAGGACCTATCTTTAAATATTATTGTTATATTCTTTTAATTTCAGTAAAATATATATTCCACCACTACATGAGAAGGCTTATTAATGAAGCTAAGCAAAGTAACTGCTGGGCATTAATCTCTTAAGGGATGGGACCATGGACATGCCCAGGCTTGTCTTCTTGCTACAACTCACTATTCAACAACACCAAGGACACCGTGTCCTTCAATGCCATCACAGAAAGCTCCTGGGCCACCGACTCTAAACTATAAATGGACCAACTGCTTTAAATATTTCTGCATGCAATGAGCCTGTACTCATGTAATTTACGGTAGTATCTAGTCACTTTTTTCTACGGGTGTCATATTTCCATTAGGTGCCTCTGTTTTACTCAGATGAACAGAAGCAGGGCTGCCACACTGTACAACTCCAGGGGATGGCATTCACATAATAGTCTGTGGTGCCCTGTGAGTTGTATAGTGCACAGAATGAGCGGCCTTGGGTGGCAGCCCTGGTTACTAAAGTCACCAGGCAGGCCCCCCTGGGGAATTGGATGTGTGCTGTTGGAAGAAGGCTAACAAATTCTTCAAGGGCAGTGGTGGAGGACATCAGAATTGGAATGGGGCAGAGTTCATTCTGTGTGATTACAAGGTGAGATTTATATCACCTGCCAAGTTTTAAAAGAGGCTGGTGAAAGAGATATTAGGGCCATGCTTCGTGGGAGGCTTGGGTTTGGGGTGTGGTGGACCTCAAACCCCAGAGGGGGCTGGGCAGTAGCCAACAGGGTACATGCATTCACTAGTCTACAGGTTCTCTGAAGGTGTGTCAATCCCTTTGCTGGACAGGGAGGGAGATTTTTTTTGTTTTGTTTTTTGTTGTTGTTTTTATCTGGTGGCACCTTAATGTTTGGACAGAGCTTGCTTTCTCTGCAACCTAAAAGGTTCCCAGTGAGCATGCTTCATGGAGGGGCTTTCTTCTGCCAGCAGAGCATTCAAGCCAGCACTCATCTGCAACTGTAGATCCCTTTGGAGATCCTAAATGGAGCTGCTGAATAGTTGTCATGGTTACCTAGGCCAGTTTCTGAGGCCAGGATGTTTTTAAGGAGGGCAGCCCTGAGCTGGGTATCCTGGGTTTCTGAGCAGGCAACTGACCCAAGAGAACCGTTTCCCCCTTCCCTCTCCCATGCTCCTACTCCCTAACCAGGAGCCTGACGTCTATAGTGATCATCTTAGTTTCAGTCCAGCCCAAACCTACTGCCCACATCTGATTTAGTCTTAAAAGATCAGGCTGACCTAGTAGCATCCTGACTGTGGTTCGGGTGTGTCTCCTTCTCTACAAACCAACACAGGTTCCTGGATTCAGTCATACACACAGCTGCTCTAGGCAAAAGACACTTGTGAAATACAAGTTCTCAATGCTTCATGTTAATAAGGAACTAATATTTTTTTTAAAACCTCAGCCCAGCACTTCACATGTAGCTCATGTAATTTACCAACCTAGTGAGAGAGGAACTATCATTCATATTTTATCCATGAGGAACTAGGGGCTGGTAGAGGTAAAGCCCAGGGCAGTACAACTAGGAAGTAGCAGAGGTAGGATTCAAATTACAATGTTGGGTTCCAAAGATAGTCCTTTTGCTTTCAAGTCATGGCTGCCATTTTAGCCACTGAGAACTGGTAGCTTCAAAAGACTCAATCATCTACCGGGTACTGACCATTCATTCATTCATTCACTCAATGATGTTCTGAGTCTGCTTTGTGCCAGACCCTATGCCAGCCACTAGGGACACCAAGATAAATCAGATAAAACCTCTGCCCTTAAGAAACTAACCCACTGACAACTAGCAGTAATTTAAAGAGAGGAATCTACAAGATTTTAGAGAGAGGGCAGTCAGGGAAACCATTCTGGAGGAAATGACACCTAACTGAATCAGCAAGTCTCAAGGTATGTCCAGTTGTGGGGAATAAACAGCAGGGTAAGACCCTATGCTTAAAGAACTCGGAGTAGAGTTGCAGAGGTAAGACTCAGGGTCATGATACAGGAAAGAGAATAAAAATCACTTCTTAAGCCCCCGAACAGGTATTCTACATGGAAGTATTGGCAGATTGAGAAACTGAGCAGCAGAAATCAGGGCCATTCAGGGAGGACTACAGAAATGAAATGGAAGCCACCTTTGTTCATAAGAGTCTTCTTAAAAGTCTTTGATCTCTCTTTGTTTTCCTTCTCTGGCTCTACCGTGATTTCTTCTCTTCATTTCTCATTTCCTTCTAAAGGAAAACACTTATTCAATGTCGTTAGAGCCTGTGCTGAGAGCAAGGCATTACCCTAATCCCTGATGGTGGTCCTAAGCAGGAATGTACAAAGATGAACAAGACACACACTGGAGCAGCTACTGAAAAACTAAAGGATAAAAGTTTGAGAGATGTGAACTCCAAATCAAACAGCAGAAGTAATGAAATAATTCAGACTTGGAAAAGGGACTGTCATTCGAGGTAATTCCACCATAGTTGGTTTGTTGATTCATTTTTATCAGCATTCATTCAGCAATGCCTCCTATCCACAAGGTCCTCTCCTCAGTGAGCCAACAATGGAGCCCAGGTCTGGCTGACCTAAGCCGCCATTACAATCGTGTGATAAATGAGCATGAAAGACATGCACGCATAGGACTTACGAGCCATGTATGCTCGTAAGAGAATTCAGAAGAAAGAGCCGGTGGTAGCTTTTGAACGGATTTCTACAATAAAATAGGAGTCTACCAAGTGGAGAAGAAAGGGAAGGGCATGTTAAAAGGCACTGAGAGTATCTTTGGAGCAGCTTGGTGTGGGGCATTTGTTGGGAGATGAGGTGTTAAAATGCACTGCCCACAGGGCGGAAAGGCCTTGAATACCAGACCAAGGAGTTTGGCCTTTTTCATAGAAAGAGATCTGAACAGGTGAGGACAATAAGATTTTTGTGTTGGAAATGTCCCTCTGGTATAGCCTGTACGGTGGACTAGCATAGGATGGAGAAGAGGGCTCAACTACCTACGCTTACAGCAGCTGTATCTTTGTGCCTGACAGACCGCACCAGACGGGTTAACTAAGCCAAGCTGGGGAGTGGGGGTGGGGGAATGGAAGGTGAAGGGAGTCCCGCGAGGGGGCTACAGGCAGGACAAGGACGCAGTTCTAGGCACCGCACAGCTGCTGGGGAGACCCGCCTCCCCTTCCAGATCCCTCTGGGGCGGAGCTCGAGCCAAAGCACGTGATGCCTGGGGACCCACCTTTACTGTGGGCAGGCCTCCCGTTCATCCGCGGTTTCACCGGTAGCCCTTTGGATCCCCAAGACTCGGACTCTTTTTCTTAGTGCTCGAGGGATCTGTTCTCTTCCGTGCATCCCTATATGCAACTCCTGCAACGCGTGGTGAGGGGAGAGAAACAGCGAAGGAGTCCTTTGCCCATACTAAAGATGGCAACCTGCTGCGCTCACTCTGGGTGGGGGTTCCAGGCGCTCTGCCTCACTGGGCGAGGCCCAGACGGAAGAGGCGTCTCTCGAGGTAAGTTTTAGACCTTCCTAGGAGGGGACCGGAGCCGGGGGCGTGGCCTCGTCTAAATTCTAACAGCTGATTGGTATTTCGAGAGGTGGGCGGAGTGCCCTCGGTACCCCACCCCTCCCTCTTCGAACCGGAAGTGTCTCTCGGTCTTTCCAGCTGGTTGTCATTTCACTCGGCTCGGTCCTGAGGAGAAGGACTCAGCCGCGGCTGCGGGACCCGGGCACCGGGAGGCGGTGGCGGCGGCGGCGGCATCGGCGACAGCAGAGGAGGAAGAGGAGGAAGAAGGAGAGAAAAAGAAGAGCCAGGTGGAGTCCGCAACAACGACAGCGGGGACTGCGGGACCGGGGTGAAGCTACGGCGGCGGCGGAGGGGACGACGACGGCCCAGCAACCGTGAGGGGAAACAAAAGCCTTCTAAATTATAGATTTTTCTAAAATCTGGGGGAAAAAAGAGAGCGAGCACAAAGGGGGGAGGCCCTTCTCTTTTAGAATAACTACACTAGTGGGTTTTCCCTTTTTTTCCTCTTTTTTTCCCCCTGCGGAGAATCGAACTGAGAGAACTGAACAAACCGCCCCTGGGTCCCATGAGGGAAAAAAACCCCGGAGCCGCAGAGAGGGGAAGAGGCCGAAACCGCAGGACCTTCCAGGTCGCCCCGTTGGTCCCCGCACCCCCGGGCCGCCCGCTCGCTCTCGTCGAGTCTCGCTAGATCCTTCCTGATCGCGATCCCCCCAAGAGGGAGAAACGGGTGTTTTCAGCCCATTTCATGGGGGAGAGGAGGCCGGGGGGAGCCCAGGAACAGCGACCGCAGCAAGATCTGCACCCAGAGCCTCAGGAACAGCCCCAGAGGCCAAAACTGCACCCCGTGAAAGAGCAGAAACAGGACCAGGAACAGCAGAAACCTCCCTGCAATCATCTTTCCATTAGTCAATGCTGATTTCCTCTCCCGCAACCAGGAATTCACCTCCCACCCTAGATAACCTAATATAATCTATATATATAAATATATAATATATAATGTTCTTAAATTATTCCTGATTTTTTTTAACCAAGCTGCCAAGAAAAGAACGTATTCTCCTCTTAGCCCTATTCTAATTTTTATGTGAGTGAATCTAAACTGCTGAGGAAGACCATATGTGATTGTTAAATTATATATATATATATTTTTACTCCGCGCAATGCTTATTCTTCTACATCCATAGATGCTTGAGAAGCTGTGTTTTTGTCATTCATGTACATTTTCCTTTGGAAAAAGAAAGCGCCTATTTTACTAACCAAAGACTTGATTTTTACCCTCTTCGTTTTTATTCCCTCCTAGAAATAAGCCCAGTTGGATTCATGTCAGTGTTTTAAGAGATTTTTTTTTTTAGTTTTTTTTTCCTTTCAGAGGCCAGAATTCCAAATCGGAACTATTTCAAGTGATAAGCTGCGATCTTTGAGCTAGCTATAAATAAGACATTTCAAGCAAACAACTGAAATTTTGGGTAGAGGATACAAAGACGTGAGACATCAGGTTGTCATTTTTTATTGTAAGAATCTGATCCTAAAAATAATAAATGGGGGATTACGGGTTTGGAGTGCTAGTGCAAAGCAATACTGGGAATAAATCTGCTTTTCCAGTCAGATTCCATCCACATCTGCAGCCTCCACACCATCACCAAAATGCCACCCCCAGCCCTGCTGCTTTTATAAATAATAACACAGCTGCCAATGGCAGCAGTGCCGGGTCAGCTTGGCTCTTTCCTGCTCCAGCTACCCATAACATTCAGGATGAGATCTTGGGGTCGGAAAAAGCAAAAAGTCAGCAACAGGAACAGCAAGACCCTTTAGAAAAGCAGCCGCTCTCCCCCAGTCCAGGTCAGGAAGCTGGAATACTGCCTGAACCCGAGAAGGCAAAATCAGAAGAAAATCAAGGGGACAGTTCTTCAGAAAATGGCAATGGGAAGGAGAAAATAAGAATCGAGTCACCAGTGTTGACAGGGTTTGATTATCAAGAAGCCGCGGGGCTGGGTACTTCGACCCAACCCTTGACATCTAGTGCATCGTCTCTTACTGGTTTCAGTAACTGGTCAGCAGCGATAGCACCTTCTTCCTCTACAATCATCAATGAAGATGCAAGTTTCTTTCACCAGGGAGGGGTCCCGGCTGCTTCGGCTAATAACGGTGCTCTGTTGTTTCAAAATTTTCCCCATCATGTCAGCCCTGGCTTTGGAGGCAGCTTCTCCCCTCAGATCGGGCCCCTCTCACAGCACCACCCTCATCATCCTCATTTCCAGCATCATCACAACCAGCCTCAGCAGCAGAGGAGGTCTCCTGCCAGTCCCCATCCCCCACCTTTCACACACAGAAATGCTGCTTTTAACCAGCTGCCTCATTTGGCGAATAATCTTAACAAACCCCCCTCTCCATGGAGCAGCTACCAGAGTCCCTCTCCTACACCATCTTCTTCCTGGAGCCCGGGAGGTGGTGGATATGGGGGCTGGGGAGGTTCCCAGGGCCGAGATCACCGCAGAGGGCTGAATGGAGGAATAACGCCCCTGAATTCCATCTCGCCTTTGAAGAAAAATTTTGCAAGCAATCATATTCAGCTGCAGAAGTACGCTCGCCCCAGCTCTGCATTTGCTCCTAAATCCTGGATGGAAGATAGCTTGAACAGGGCTGACAACATTTTTCCTTTTCCGGTAAGATTATGTTCCATTAATAGATTAAGATGAATAAGGAAATTGTATGGTGTAATATCTATTTAACTAAGAGGTTTGAATGGTCCATGTACATATCAGAACTCTTCTTGGAAAATGAGTTGATTGCCAGACATTATTTTGGCAGGACAGGGGTATAATTGGGAACAAAATATTCAGCTGTTTCTTTGATAAATTTCTAATTGTAATCTTCCGCATAGATAATAGTATGAATTGGTATAATTATGACTACCAGGTAGCTAGTCATGTTGGAATTATTAACTATAATGTTTCTAGCCTGACAGGATCATCAGGGTTGGTTTTTCTTACTTTTTTAGGTGAGAATAAATAATATATAGATATACGTATACTTCATTGTGCAAACTGATAATTTTCTGCCCAGATGAAGTAACTGTATAACAAAAAAATTCATTTTTTTCCTCCACGTAGGATAGTGATTTACTGAAAACCAACTATTGAATTATAGTTTTCTCACTGGTTACACTTTAAACCTGGAACCTCTCTGAACCTTGCAGTCTGAACAGTCTGAATTCATCAATTCCTCTTAAACCTCTTTGCAAATTCTGGCCTGCCCCGTGTCAGTAAGGACTGGTACAGAAATGATTTAAATGTTTTCTTCATCCCCATTTATTTTCAAATACCATGAAACTGTTGATCTCAGAGTGACTCTTTTATGATGCCTTTCATCCATTTGTTTATTTTCCAGTGTTAACACTAGGGGTGTAGATAAACCATTCCTAAAAATAGATCCAGGCAAAGATCACTTGTCTTTCTTGCCACCAGTGTATCCTTACTCTGCAAGAGTCACATGGTTTGATGTTTTTGAATTAATGAGCAGCCAGTCTAGTTGATAAATATGAGATAAAGGGAATTTCATAGTTAATTGAACATCAGATGCCCCAATGAGTTTGCATATTTGAAGGTATGATTGTTTATATGTGTTTAGGAAATTTATATGGGCTAATAAGCTAACATTGAATCAGTCCTCACAGTGACCCCACAAGGTAAGTTCTATTATTATCCCCATTTTGCAGATGAGAAAATTGAGTATCAGAAAGATATAACTTGCCCAAAAGCACACTGCTGATAAGAGTACAAAGTCTAGGTTAAAAAACAAGAATTAAAATATATATCTGTATACATGTGTACACATATGTGTATGTATATACACATGCGCCACAAAGGGTTATTTTAGAGATCTTTCTGCAAGGGCTAACACAGATTACAAGACAGTTGCAATGTCCCCAAATATGATGTCAGCACAAGCAGAACTATCTGTTTGATTAATAATTTGCTTAGTGGGAGGGCAAGTTTGCTAAGAGAATCCTGTGTCATTTCAAGGAATTAAATGTCCCTTCCCTGAAGGATTAAGGTGGAATAGTCAGGATGTATCTTAAAATATTTGATTAAGTTTAGTTTTAGATTTTTAAAAATAATTTTTTTCCCTATGTATCAAAAAGCTGTTGGCTTTTGCTTTTAAAAAGGGTTTTTACTCAAACTGAATTATCTTGCATTAGTAGCTAGGTAAAAGGCTTTTTAGACATTGGTAATTTCATGAAGTCTATTTTTAAAAAGTTGCTTTTAATATTCTTTTGAACGTAAATTTAAAGAAAATTTAGTGCACAGGTGACTTTTTTGAATTATTCATTTCTTGCTAATTTTTAAATCTAAGGTGGCATTCTGTACATTTTAACTGGATTAAGATTGGCTCAGAATTGAATACACTTTTTTCATTTTGCTACAGTAACACTGACAGAACAAACTTATGTGACTGAACTTAGATGACCTCAGGGTTTATTTTCCGTTCTCAGTTTACTGACTTTTGATGAAGGTTTGCTTTGGGAAAAACAATTTCAGAAAATGAATGAACTGTATGCATGCATATTCTCAATATTTTGGGGGGCTAATGGAATGTGTTTACATGTGAAATCTTTTGGATCAGTTGGAGATTAAGCTGGTTTATGAAATAATAATAAAATTAACTAAGGTTGATACTAAAAAAGTGTTAGAAACTAACTCTTCCCTTAGAATTGTTGTCTTATTATGCTGAGGATGGAAAAAGGATGAGTCAATATACCTGGCTCAAATATGGTAGGATTAGAAAGTAAATTGTTGATTTCTGCTCATCATTCCCCACCACTTTTAGGAATAGGAGGGAGGGTTCAGGGAGCCAGGAGCAAGTGTGGGGGTGATTTGAAAGTCACACTGGGGTTTTGGGTTTTGAAAAAAACACAAGAAGTTAGTAAACTGAGTACTGTATGCTTACTTAATGTATGTAGTTCTGTGTGTGTGCATGTGTGTGTGTTTTAACAGCTACCCTTTTGAATTGGTTTTGGCAAAAAAGAAAAAATACAGTTTTGGGTTGGTATGAATTACTTGGTTAAATTTGATATGAAAAACGTGAAGGAACATTTATTTGACTGGGAGGCTGGAAACTAGGTGTGCTCTTTGCCCTATCAGTATAACATTTGGGGGCCTCAGTTTCTCCATAAAATGCGGGGGGTGACGGAGGTGATGTCTAAGTTCCTTATGGTCCTGAGGTGAGCTCCTATGAAACTGGAATTGCTGCAACCACAACCACACTTTCTGAACTGCTGCCATCTTATTTAAATCTATTACCCTAAACACTATTAATTTTAGGAAAGAAATTTTACAGATATTAGTAGTTCAGTTTTAATGGCTATTGTCAAGAATTCCTTAGGTGTTATAGAGAGATCTGGAAATATACCACAGAAATGACTGGATCCAGCAGTATGCATGGCTACATTATAGTATTAGTATTATTGAAAGGAAAGAATTTACCTGGTACGTAACTAATACTGGGCAATGTTTGTTTTGACCCTTACATTAAGAAGAAAAAAATCCTCCATGTCCTGCCAAACACATCCTGGAATTCCAGTGTCCAAACCAAATAATATATTGGGGCACTTGCCAATAATTTTATTTGAATACAGCACTTCTTTGGAGGGGTGCCTAGATCTTCTGTCCTTACAGGAAAGTAAAGGAGAATTGTGTAGAGTATATTCTGATAGTCTCTTACCTTCAGCTCAGTTATGCTCACACCTCCATTAGCTAAAAACCAGGAAGTAGGCAAAAAAATAGAAAATGAAAAAATAAAAAGGAGGAGGGTAGACAAAATCTTTCACAAAGACCATCCCTAAAACTTGATAAGGAGACATTTTAGGATTTAGAACCCATTTGCTCTTACTTCGGACACAGTCATCATGGATTTGTTAAGTTGTCTTAACCAGGCAAATAATTCATGTCACTTTCATAGCTCTGCTTGTGTTGTCAGTTTATTGATCCTTAAAATTATATATGGCATCTTATATTTGAAAATAGAAAGTTACTGCATTGCTTCAGTTCTCAAAATCATGGTGAATTATTACAATTGTCTAAGTATAACCTCATTACACTTTTTGTTTTTTAATATAGTCCCAGGACGGATCTTTGTATGGGAAACATTTTCTTTGTATTTATTTCTATTAGAGGAAGGGAAATTAATTTCTTCATTATAAAGTATGGGTTACATGGTTTTGGCTCCAGCAGAATTGAGATACTGAAAAAACTTTGGGAAAGCATACCAGGTACAATTTTACGCCTTTTTGTAGAAAGCCTTTGAACTAGATTTAATTGCTTTTCTGATGGAATCAAAACTTGGGCGGGGTAGAGTTTTTTGATTATTTTTTGTTGTCTTCACAGAAGCCATGGAATATGATCAACACATTGTTCCACACCTTTCAGGAAAAACCTATTTATAGCAAGCTTAGTGAACGTTGCAACTAGAAAGATGCTCTTAGTTCATGGGTTTATGCTTTTAAGAATAATCCTTGTTGGTGTTCATGAGAAAGAAATGGAAAACTAATCTTAAAGTTAACATATGCCTAGTTTAAATTTTATAGCCTATATTTTTTTATGACTTTATCTTGCTATAAGGAAAATTAGCTTGAAGATCCATTATCCCATTTTTTTCAGCACTACATTGTACCTCAGGTTTTGATCCCATCACAGATAAGATAATGTGTATAATGCATTTCTCTTTAAGGCAGGGAGCTCATAACATGAGCATTTGTTTTAATATTTCCTGACAAACTCATTTTATATTTAATTGTTCAAAGAAAATTACTCTTGCAGAAATTAAGGTATATTTTTACCATGATAAATTTATAGCAATCTGTAATTTTTTTTACTTCAAATTTAGTATAGATTCTCATCACATTTTATATTATTGAAACAAAGAGTTCCACTTTCAGGTTTTCCGAAAATTCTTAGTAGATGGAATAATAAAGGTACAGTCCTATTTTTAATCAGTTTCTGAAGGTGAAACTTGAATAATTACTGAGATAGGTTATTTTATGAGGCCAAACATGTAGTAGAGTGAAGCATAAGCTCTGGATCCAAGCACACTTGAGTTTGACTCTGCACTGTAATTAGCTGTGTGACCTTGAGCAAATCGCTTAAATTCAGGAAGAAAACCTCATCAAGGTAATAATAATAAAACCTCATCAAGGTTTTTGTGAGGCACCTTAAGTATGTGGCCATAGTAGGTAGCTTAAATTTTTTTTTTTTAATTTAAAGTATGCCTCTCTAAAATTTGTAAAATAATGAAATTAATTACAAATATAGTATCTATGAAAGATTTTGAACAGTCCTTTGTATTGCTTATCTTATTATATGTACTTTACTTCTTAGAGTACTCCTTTTGAATAAGCTAGATGTAACCTAGGACAGATAAAACATTTAGCAGAATTAATCAGTTTTCTTGAGAAGTTTTATAATTGTATATATCTAAACTTTCATTAGTATTGGTAGACTACATCTTTCAGTATTTTGAAAGATTTTGCCTATGGTTATTTTAAGAAATTTAGAACATTTGATTGCTTTTGTATACATTAAAAGAGACTATTTCAAAGGAGAATTTGTGATTTTTTTGGATAAGAGATAGGAAGAGTTACCATAGATTTGAATTGGGTCTATTTTAG